GTCAGCCAACACCTGCTTAACCTGCATCCATGAGGAGAAGGTGGGAGTGAGCACGATAAACTGTAGTGCTCACTACTATGCACATGAACAATAATAATATACGAGAAATTAGATGGCATGGTCGCAGTAGAACATAATCAATAAACATCCCATCTCCTAACCAAAGTAATTCTCATGTGCACACCTATAACAATAGACTGCTGCTCGTATGCCTTTCGGCGAACATAAATGGGGTGCCCAAACAGCATGAGGCCCAACTGTCACAGCACGCACCTAGTGCTTGGAAAAGATATCCATCCCGTCCAGGGCACATTGCCAAGGTCTTACAGATGAAGTGGTGGAGATTACCCTTGCGGGGTACGTTCAATAGCTACGGGAATAACCGTTCGATGGCCGGCACAGCTCACATCGAAGGTTACATGCTCACATGCATAAGTTGATCATACCCACATAAATAAAGCAATTATCATTCAAGGCATAGACAATTTCGAATAACCCACCTGGATACCGGAATATAGCCAAACACAGGGTTGAAGGAATTAGGGCAAGAGTTCAGCTCGATGAACCTACAACAATTATAATAGTCTATCAACTGACTATCCAATACAAGACAACACACAAAGCACATATACCTAGCCGAAATCATATCGATTAAGTGACTCGTGGATTCCTTGACCGAGTCAGGTACAATGGAGTGACTAATAGACCTGAAGTCCTGAACACAACTCAAAATACCTCAGGTTATACACATAAATCATGCCAACATCAATCAAATCCAACTCGAACCTAAACAACGGATAACCGAGCATTAAGACTCCAAAATAAACAAAATTCAGAATCCGAAGCTAGACTCGACCAATCAACCGGAAACTTTACCACATCATAGGGCATACAAAAACAGATAATCTCACCAAGTTTCCTCCTTATGTTCATCCGGGAGCATTTTTAAATAATTTATGCAAAAACAACGCCAAAATCGGGAGTTAACAGTTCATATAGCTACACTTCTAATTTTAATCTAAAATTTTGACACAACACAGAATAAAACAGATTAACATACTTCTCAAAGCTTCAGCTCAAAAATTCAAGTGTACGATTTTTAATGAATTTTACAAAATTCTGACAAAAACCCGATTTAATTAATTAAAATAGCTACGGATGGAGTTTCGACTTGAAAATTTTACACGACCTACAAAATCATCACAGGACATCACAAAAAACATTTCACGGTATTCAGTCAATCACAAAATTTATCATGAATTAATTACAATTCAGCAGCATGCTCGGTTTTAGAAAATTTATAACTCATGATATACACATCGAAACGACCTCAAATCAAAACCAATAAATCAAGGACAACTCCAAGTACCTATAAATCCAAGATTTCCACAAAAAATACCACTCAAATCTCAGTTCTATAACAACCAAAGTGACGACAATCACTTTGTTATCCAAAACGCAAATAAATTCATAATACGACACAAGACATATCCAAGGCACGTGATAAACTTGCAATTCACATGATCAGCACATTGAAATTCACAATAATACAATCACAAAATTAAACGAGACGGAGTTCGAGCCTAGGTACCATTCTCGGGAATCATTTGAACGAAAGAGATCGAAAAGGGACTTAACGGTCGAATTGCGAGTGCCGGCGGGGCTCGACGACTAAGCTTCGGCTCGCTCGAGATGCTGTTGGGACGCTGCCAGGATGATACTCGCACAACGGTGGTCGTTGGAACGCTCGAACAACGGACAGGAGCAACGGGGCTGAAACTCACGAAGGTGACGACCGAAAAAACAGAACCAGGGTCGCACGCGGGGCTCAAGTTCTGCAACTGGAGCCTCTCGTTTGGGCGGACATGGGCTGATCATGCGAGCAGAACAAGCAAGTGCAGCGAGAAAACAAAAATAATACGTCGGGACTCGTTGGCTTTGTTCGACACTCCGACAGAACTCGACGAAACTCGACGGCTATGTTCGGCACTCCGACGGGACACGACGGAACTAGACGGCTACGTTCAGAACTCCGATAGGACTTGACGGGACCCGAACTGCAGCAATGGGGGTGCTGGGGTGCTGCTGCACTTAATGAATGATGATGGTGATGGATAGGTTTGTCGGGGAAAGCAGGTCACGAGGCCTGCTGCACTTGATGGCTCGCGAACAGAGATGATGGCCGCGGATGCTGGAATTCAGTGGGACTCACGAGCAGGGACCAGCAGGAGCTTCACGCAGAGGCTCGCCAAAAAAATTCAGCGGCCGGTTCGTGGAGGAGCTGCTACAGGTTGCTGTTATGGAGGGTTCTCACCGATGCTGGACAGAGCTCGTCGGAGAACACGTTCACGGCAATGGCGGAAGGCTGCGACGAGG